AAAAAAAAAAAAAAAAAAAAAAAAACTGGAGGCCTGAGGCCTTCTGAGACTTCTGAGAAGGCCCGCCCCTTCTACCTTCCCACATGGGCGCGCCGCCGAGAGAGCGTTTGGGAATGTTGGCTTGAAATGTCGCGCCGCCGGTTCTGGCCCACCACGGTTCGGCGCGACACGGTAGCCGCTTCCTGGTCCCCGAGCGACAACGCACCGAGCATTTCGGGGCTCCTCGCCCCGCGAAGCGGAGCGACACGCTATGAGCTCGCAGGGCATAGCGCGTCGCCCGGGCCGCCGCCGCAGCACGCCGTAAGCAAACGTTCCTGACCGTAGCTCCAGTCGGAGCTGTCGTGGCTGCACGCTTTCGGGCCCCACAGGGTGGCGAAGACGCGCGCCGCGGCGCTCATCCGGGCACGGCGGCCGCGCCGCGCGGCCCAGCTCGGACCCAGCTAGCCGCAGCGCGCCTTGGCCTCCGCCCGCCTGGGTCCTGCGGGGGGGGGGGGTGTTGTTGTAGCCGCTGCTTCGAGGAAGCGCAGGGAGGGATGAAGGCGCGAAGGCACCCCTCGGGCGCATGGCAATGGTGGGTGCCCTACAGCGGGGGTGGAGAAAAAGAGCCTTAGAGGACCACCTGGAGGCCCCTTTGGGGGCCCCTGCTGGCTCCAAAAGGGGCCCTGAAGTGCCCCTTCTGGACTCTTTTCTTCACCTCCCCCTCCTCCTCCTCCTTCTCCTCCTCCTCCTCCTCTCCTCCTCCTCCCCCTCCTCCACCTCCCCTCCTCCTCCTCCTTCCTCCTCCTCCTCCTCATCCTCCTCCTCCTCATCCTCCTCCTCCTCCTCCCCCTTACCTCCTCCTCCTCCCCTCCGTCTCCCTCGTCCCTCCTCCTCTCCTCCTCCTTCCTCCTCTCTCCTCCTCCTCCGCCTCCTCCTACTCCTCCTCCTCCTCCTTACTTACTACCACTCCCCCCGACTACTTCTCCGCCGATTCCGTTCCGATGCAGGTTTTTGCCGACGTGCTCCGTCGCCGCATCGGGCGGCGCCGGCTTCGCGCGTCGCCTTCGCCGGTGGGATCCGGCGCCCGCGCGCGGTCCGGCGCCGCAGCCCATGTTGGCGATACGCAGGAGCAGCCCGCGGCACCGTGTGCAATGCAGAACCCGGGGAGCCTGGTCCGCTGGCGCGGGAGTTGCCGCGGGCGCCGCGCACGGCCACGTCGCGGTGTCGCGAGCCCTGCGGGTGCCCGCCCCCCCCCCCCCGCCCCTCCTCGCGTCGGGCTGCACGGGTGGCGCCCAGCGGTCCAGGGCGCAGCGGCTCCTCCTCCTCCTCCTCCTCCTCCTCCTCATCCTCCTCCTCCTCCTCCTCCTCCTTGTCCTTGTCCTTGTCCTCCTCCTCCTCCTCCTCCTCCTCCTCCTCCTCCTCCTCCTCCTGTTGGCTCCTCCGCAGATGTCACCTCATGGCGACGAACCTGCCAACAAACAGTACAAGGCAAGATTGAAATAGAGGCGGGAACAAATAAATGCGACGAGCTCAGCAGGTATGTTTGCAGGAACAGGCGGAGGGTGCGCCTGTCCTCGACAGAGTCCGCCGCCCCCGAGACTAGGTCATCCAACCCTGTCCCGCTCTCCACCTCCTAGGAACTGATCTCCCGAAATACACATCCGTGCTGGGGTCGATCCCTCGCTTGAGTTTTCCTGAGTCCGCGGCAGGATCCTTATTGCCAGGGCCCCCCACGCACACGCACACACACACACACACACACACACACACACACACACACACACACACACGCCCGCACGCCCGCGCCCGCGCCCGCACGCACGCACGCACGCACGCACGCACGCACGCACGCACGCACGCACGCGCACACACACACACACACACACACACACACGCGCACACACACACACGTCGTTTAGGAGAGGCGACCTCGAGGACTCAAACTCCCCACCTCGGCTGCACGGGGCCAGACGGCCTGCGCCGAGCCAGACAGTGGTGGGTCATGTGTGAGACCCTCGCAGTGCGCGGCGCTCCGCCGCATGGAAGAACGGAGACGGCACTCCCGGACCGACCTCGCTCGCCACGGTGCGCTCTGTACAGTGGCCGCTCGGCTCAGGGATCCACATCGAAGCCTGGCTCTTCTCTCGGCGAGGCTTCCGAATTTGATTGCAACATCTGGGAAATCTCTGGCCGAAAGGTCTCCCATGACCTCAGCGATCACCCAGGCGCCGCTTGCTTCACAAGAGCTCCCGGCGCGTCGTTTGTGCTGCTGCGCTAGACACGGGTTGAAAGTATGGGCCTGAGTTCCCAGCGTGGCTAGCTCGTCAGCCCGATTGTTCCCTCTCCATGTCCAACCCTCGAATCCTTGCCTCCATGCCTGGCTACGGGTGAGGTGAGACCTGATCCTGTATCCACCCTCGAAATCAAACACAAGTTTGTCCCGCGACGCGGCGGCGCCCTAGGATCCCCTGATCTCAGCGTACGTGCCCAGATAGGCGACTGCAAACACTAAAATCTGACCCCGTGGGCCGCGTTTCGCGCGTCGACCAGCATTAAAAACTTGCGTATGATTACGAGGATGGTTGTAGATACAACAATTTGCTCGAAAGCTACCTCAGCCCCGAATCGAAAAAATCTTCACGGAGCTCCGAGAGAGCTGTACGGTCAAGGGTCTGAGACCGTCCGAAGCCCCAGGCATCTTCAGCTGTCCTGCAATCGGTAACCATTTCGAGCCCTCGGGGACCTGAGAGCTTGAACGCCATCAAGAAAGCGTAGACTTCACCGGCACCTGCCAGCTGAACCAGATGAGGCATGGGCCCGTATGCTCCTCTGACAACATTGTCGCACCCGTCCATGCACACGACCGCCCCTCCTGCGCGATAAAAAGAGAGGATATCATGATCCAGCCCCGACCCGTCGAGGCAGGCTCTCCTCGTGAGGACCCCGTGCGGCGGCATGAGGTCCCTCTTGAACCCTGCCTCTGAATACGGCGATGGCCAACTCCATTCCGTGCTCGGCGCCAGCTCTCGGACATGGAGGGGCAACGTGCACTGGTGAACAGGATCCTCCTCCTTCCCCTCGGTGAGTTGCGCACCTCATCCTCCTCCTCCTCCTCCTCCCCCTCCTCCTCCTCCTCCTGGCTCCTACTCCTCCTCCTCCTCCTCCTCCTCCTCCTCCTCCTCCTCCTCCTCCTCCTCCTCCTCCTCCTCCTCCTCCTGGCTCCTCCTCCTCCTCCATCCCTTTGCCTTGGAAACAACTCCCTGTCGCACCCCCCGGACGTGTCTGCAAGCCGAGCCGGGCGTTTTTCGCTGGAGACCTCCTCACCATCGACAAGAAGCTTGCAGTGTGCAACAGCTTCAAGGAGGGAGGGCGGGCCGTTTTCAAAACGGAGTTCTCGCCTTGGCGTCGCGCACACTCGTTTCCAAAGTCTGAAGCAGCTCGGAGGATGGAGACGGGCTCCTCTCAGAGTGTGGCTCCCTTTCTCTCTCTAGCGCCGCGCACATTCGTTTTAGAAGTTTGCAGCAGGTTGAAGGCCATGTCCTGTTGAAGTCCCCAGAACTGTGCTTGGCACGATTTAGGGTTGCCAGGTCGCAGCAGTCACTTGGATTCTTTGTGTTGAAGGCCCAGGATTGGTGCTCTGGCACGGCTCACGATTGTGAAGACGCCACAGCCACGTTGATTCGCGGCGTTGATGTCCCAGGGACAGTGTGTTGGCACGATCGATGCTTCTCCAATAATTTCGGAAATTGACGGATGCCCGAATCAGGTGTAATGCATTATGAAAAATGGTGGTAGTTTGTCTTGTTGTTGTTTTGGCGAGGCCGCTCCCCTTTTGGATTCTCGGTTTTTGAATTATTTTCACTGTTGGCTTTCAACGGGCCAACTCTTGCAATGACAAACTTATTGCAGAGACGTGTGAAGAGGAATCTTGGAGAGAGGGTTTATAGCAACATCGTTGGTGCATCTTGGGTTTACACTGGTCCTCCTCCTGATCCTCCTATCCCCCTCCCCCCTTGGGTTGCGCACCTCCTCGTACTCATCTTTCTCCTCATCATCGTCATCATCATTCTCACCATCATCATCCATCATCATCTCCCTCCTGATCATCCTGGATTTCTTCGCTCCTTCCCCATGCCTCCTTATCCTATTCCTCCTACGCAGTCACCCTCCCTCCCTCCCCCAATCCCCCCTTCTACCTCTTCCCCTCGCGCGTGCCTCTGAGCTCGCCCCCCTCAAGTGGGCTGCGTGCCAGCACGCGGGACGAAGATCGGCCAGTGCCGCCCCCAAGCGACGCCCGCTGGCTGATCACCGAGACGATGTCCGATTGGCGTGCCGAAGGTACTTTATTAGTGGATTTAATTGGTTTTAGGGTTTTAACAAATGGTCGCAGCCACGCAGAGGGCGTGCGTAGCGACGCCCCAAATGCTCGGTCTCCAGTACTTCTACGTGGCGGCGCCCCCGCAGGCACGCAGAGGGCACGCGTGGCGACGGGGGCGTCGCCACGCAGAGCTTCTAAAGACCAAACATTTTGAAAACCAATTGTTCCCACTACTAAAGTACTCGACTCTGGGTTCTGCTCTTAAAACGCTGGCGGTCTCCCCCTCGCGCTGCGCCAGGTCAAGGGGTCTGGCGCACGGGCCCCGAGGCCCTGTACTCGTTCGGCCGGCACACAACGTTGTGCAGGTGTGCCCTCTGGATGGTTTACACGGTGCCGATGCGCCGTCAGGAGCGGCTTTCGGTGAGCCAGTCAGTCTCGCATTGTAGTTTTCAGGTCAGGGCTTCGGATGGGATTCCATGATTTCGTCAGTCGCTCATTCCTTCAATCATTCCCGCTCTCCCGCATCCGCTTCTGCGTCCCCCTTCCCCTTTCGGCTCCCCCGGCCCACCCGATGAGCAGGCCCCACCTCCCCCTTCATCTTCCTCACCCTCATCCTCCTGATCCCCGCCCGCTCCCCTCGTCCTGCCCGTGCCACTTTGAGCAGCCTCCTGAAGCCCCGTGCCCCAGCGGCGCCCCTGGGCAGGACATCGAGGCGGAGATATCGGACGTGGGCGCTCAGGTCTCGGCCTTCGCCGTCGTCGTCGTCGTCCGCGTCGGCGGCGGAGGAGGAAGAGGAGCGAGTTCGGTGATCATCACATGATTGTTGATTGCGGGGGTGCTCTCGCAGGGGAAATGATCCAAGCGAGCACCCTGAAAGCGATGTGATGGACCATGGAAGGACGAAGCGACGACGAGCCCTTCGATGTTCTGCCAAGTAGATATACTGTCCCAGAAGCATTGTATGGCGACTTGATGGACAATGGGTTGACCGATCCAGATCTTTACGCTCGAACGAGAAAGCGGCCGAGGGTAGAGGAAGACGGAGGGGGGGCAGCAGTGATGGGGTTAGATAGGGGTGATGATGAGACCGATGATCGGTCCCGCAGACGGGGAGATGGGGGGGGCAGACAGGAGCTATTGTTGTGTAGGGCATCGGTGCACAGTAAGGAGTGTTCCCTTGGAAGGGGGGCGGCGGCGTGTAGAATGGGGTGACCACGCTGTCGGGATGATGCGGGGGTAGACTGAAATATGTCTAGGGAACGGCGGCGCATATAAATACGCTGTCACCCTGACGGGGTGATGGCGGTAGATGATGTTGGTGATGACGATGAGGATGTTGATCATGATGATGATGGTGACGATGACAAGTGTGAATTAGATTGTGAAGATGGAGTTGAATGTGAAGCCGCATTTAAAAGTGATATTTCCTCTTGTTACCGAGAGCCGCTCGAATAGACCAGCTTGCCGTGTGATCCGATATGGGGGTGTTCCCGCTAGAGATTTCCTTGCGGTTGACTCGCAAACGAGGCTTTCGCCCAAGGCATCCTCATGGTTCGGACAGCCGCCAGAATTCAACCCCCATGGATTTGCAAGGATTTCAAGAGGGTCGAGTCGTTGCAGGTTGCGGGAGACCTGTGTCTGGAAAAGTATTGTGTTACTCGCCCATCTCGCGTTGGGTTCTCGTTTTGAACAGAGAACTGTGGTCTACATCAATTCCTCCTTCCTCCTCATCCTCAACCTCATCCTCATCCTCATCTGCATCCTTCCTCCCCCTCCTCCTTCCTTCCTCCATCCGTGGTCTTCCTCCTTCCTCCTCCCCCTCCTCCCTCCTTCCTCCTCCCCCCCCCCCTCCTCCTTCCTCCTCCCCCTCCTCCTTCCTTCCGTCCTTCCTCCCCCTCCTCCTTCCTTCCTCCCCCTCCTCATCCTCATCCTCCCCCCTCCTCCCGCCTCCACCCTCACCCTCCGTTCGCATCGCGTCGTGTTGCCTCCGTTGCTCGTACCTTCCCTGCCGAGGGCCTGCACATGGCGCGACCTTCGCCGCTGTCGTGGGCTCCCGGGAGGTCCAGCAGGGTCGGGGCAGACGCAGATCCAGCCGAGACATCGCTGCTCCCTGGGAGGCTGCGAGCCGCGCCACTTTCGCGCCACGTGCGCGGGCTGCTGGGAGGTCCAGCGGAGTCGGGGGACACGCAGATACAGCGGAGACATCGCTCTTGCTTGGGTGATTGCTCGACTGTCGCCACGTGCGTGGGCTCCTGGGAGGTCCAGCGGAGTCGGGGGACACGCAGATATAGCGGAGAAATCGCTCTTGCTTGGGTAATTGCTCAATTGTCGCCACGTGCGTGGGCTCCTGGGAGATCCAGCGGGAGTCGGGGGACACGCAGATACAGCGGAGACCTCGCTGCTTCCTGGGTGGTTGCGAGAGGTCGCCACTGCAGTGGACTCCTGGGAGGTCCAGAGGAGCCGGGGAACACGCAGATACAGCCGAGACTTCGCTGTTGCTTGTGCGGTTGCGAACCACGCGATCGTCGCCACTTTCGTGGGCTCCCGGGAGGCCCGGCAGGGTCACGGGGGCACGCGGTTACAACCCAACCGAGAGTTCGTTGTTCCTTGGATGGCTGCGAATTGCGCAACTGTCTCAACGTTCGTGGGCTCCTGGGAGGTCCAGCGAGTCGAGGAACACGCAGATCCAGCCGAGACATCGCTGCTCCTTGGGTGATTGCGAACTGCGCAACTGTGGCCACGTTCGTGGGTGCATGGGTGGTCCAGCAGGGTCGGGGGGCACGCAGATACAGCCGAGACATCGCTGCTCCTTGTGTGGCTGCGAACTGCGCAACTTTCGCCACTCTGGTAGGCTCCTGGGAGGTCCAACGGAGTCGGGGACACGCAGATGCAGCCGAGACTTCGCTGCTCCTTGGGGGGCTGCGAACCGCGCAACTGTTGCCACGTTTCTGGGCTCCTGGGAGGTCCAGCGAAGTGGAGTTATACGCGCACCCAGCTGAGGCCTCGCGATCCCCTGGGTGGCTGCGAACTGCGCATCTGTCGCCACGGTCACGGGTTCGCCACGTTCGTGGGTTTCTGTGAGGCACGGCGGAGGTGAGGGCAGCGGGGGTCACAGCGAGATTTCGCGGCTCCTTCGGGGACCGCGGACTGGCGCAAGTGTCGCCCCGTGCGTGGGCTCTTAGGGGGGATCGCGGAGAGCAGGGCAACGCGGGACCAGGCGAGATGTCACGTCTCTTTCGGCGGGTTGAGTTCCTGGGAGGCACGGCGGAGTGCAGGGGAACGCAGATCCAAACGAAAGCTCACAGCTCTTCGGGCGTTATTGGCGAAGTGTTCAAGGGGATTACATGTATGCTCATATTTCATGGTTGAACTAAGCGGTCATGAATAGAGTCGCCATGTGTAGAATCGGTTGGGTATGTCCATGGGTGGTTATTGGATGATTTAGGCCTGATGTTGACAGGGCCGCCGGAGAGGCTTCCTTCTCTATAAAAGCTAGGGGCGACAGGGCGCTGGCACCGCGCCAGCACCGCGAATGCGGCCAGTGGGGTTCCCCTGGGAGATATTGTGGATCACGTTTCCGCATTGCTTGACCCAGAAAGTGGCACGAGATGGGTGAGAATGGCAGGCGAAGGAGGAGAATCAGGAGGAGGAGGTGGAGGTGGAAGAGGAGGAGGAGGAGGAGGAGGGGGAGGAGGAGGCGGGAGAAAGATGGAAGAGGTGCTGGAGGAGGAGGTGCTGGAGGAAGGTGGAGGAAGGGGAAGTAGAGGAGGAGGAGGAGGAAGAGGAGGAGATATCGGGCTTGGGCGTTTAGGTCTCGTTCCACGTGTACGCGGACGGCACTGGGCTCGGCGCTTCGGAGACCGCCAGCCATTTGCACGGCCTCCTTCTGGCTGCATCCGCGCGCTGCACCTGCGAGGGATGATTGGTGGCCAGGCGGGCTGCCAGGGCAAAGGGTGCGAGGGAATGGGAGGAGGAAGAGCAGGAGCAGGAAGACGAGGACGAAAAGGAGAAGGAGGAGGAGGAGGAAGAGGACAAGGGAGCAAGAGGAGAAGGAGGAGGAGGAGGATTCAGCTAGAAGGATTGAAAATGATGCCGCCCACACGGCGCAGGTCACAGGAGGAGGAGGACGAGGAGGAGGAGGGAAAAGGAGGAGGAGGAGGAGGACGAGGAGCATGAGCAGGAGGGGGAGGGGGAGGAAGGCGAGGGGGATGGGGGGAGGAGGAGGAGGCGGAGTTGCTCAAGCCGCGTTGGCCCGAGCTTCGGGGCAGCAGGCCAGAGGTGTCTCGCGCGACACACGACACGTTGGCGCCAGCGCGGGCGCCAGCACGCACCCTCCTTCGGCCACCGCTGTGGTGGCATGGCACCGGCGTCTTGGAATCCTGTCAAACTTGGCTGGTTCTGCCAGAGTTGCGTTCATGATCAGACAGGGAAACCGTGGATCAAAGGACGTAGGAGATCGTTTTGTGCATCGTGTGACCTCTACACGAGCGCATGTTTCGGCCCCAACGCGGTCCCGCACACTCCGCCCCAGTATTCCGTCAAGCGTTCATCGTGGCTGCTTGATGGTTATTAATCGCTTCGCTCATTCCGCCGGCCCATACAGTCTCATGTCTGCCGTTTGCCCGAGGGCCTGGTGTCAATGCGGCGCTTTGGGGGTTCCTGGGGCCGCTTGGGGGACTCCTGGGGCGCTCGGGGGGGCATTTGGGGGGCCTCCTGGGGCCGCTTGGGGGACTCTTGGGGGCCTCCTGAGGGCCTCGTGGGGGCCTCTTGGGGCCTCTTAGGGGCCTCTTGGGGCCTCGTAGGGGCTTCTTAGGGCCGAGGGCTCGACATGTTGTTTCGTGTTCCCTCTCTGGGGCCCCTTTGAGGGCGTTCTTGGGGCCCTCTTGGACCGTCTTGGAGGCTTCTTGGGCCATCTTCGAGCCCTCTTGGGCCATCTTGGGGCCCTCTTGGGGGCCTCTTGGGCCCTCTTGCGGCGGTCTTGGGGGCCTCTTGGGCCGTCTTGGGGCGTCGGGAAGCCGAAAAGGTGGAAGCTCCAAAATCTATCAAAAACCTGAAGAAAAAAACAATAAATTTTGCCTCCGGGGGCCCTTTCGGGAGTGCTCTTGGAGGCCTCTTGGGGCGTCTGGGGGCTATCTTGGGCGTCTTGGAGCGGTCTTGTGGCATGTCGGACCCCTCGTGTACCATCTTGGGGGCCTCTTGGGGGCCTCTTGGCCTTTCTTGGGGCTCTCGGGAACGTCTCGGAGCCCTGTTGGTGCGCTCATGGAGCGCTCCTGGAGCGCTCTGGGGGGGTCTCCCGGGGATCGGTCGGGGATCGCCCGGGGTATTTTTCGTCCGGGGACCCCCAGGGGCCGCCCCGCGCGCGCGAACTAGAGAATTGTTAACCAGTTACCGGAGATCTTAGCACGCCTCTGGCCCGTTGGGCCGGCGAATATTTATTCTGATGGTGCTGTCGCAGATTTGGTGGGACTCCGCGTCAATGTTCACAATTTTGAGGAGCAGGCCCGTGACATGGACAAGCAGTTTCCCGCAACCAACATGGACGTCAAAGACATTAAGTCCCGTCTCAGCGAGGTGGAGAAGGAGTTCGGAGGTGCCGGGCAGGTTGCCGGACCTACTTGGACGGAAGTGCGCAAAACTTCGGAAGCGGAGCAGGGGAGCTTCAAGCAGGCAGGCCCTGCAAGCATCCAAACCTGTGCGTTAACAAGCACGTGCGGCCACAACCCGCATCGAGCTGGCAGAGAAGAAATCCAGAAGTGCAGCGATGCGGTTGCCAGGCAGAGGGAGCAGTTCTCGTAGATTCAAGCAGTTCTCGTAGATTCAAGCTGCCACCGCGCGTGCTGGAGATGATACCGTACATCATGAAGCGGCAAAGCAGGAGTTATGCGAGTAAAGCAGTAGGCTGGTTGCGGAGTCAGCTGAGCAATGTCAAGTTCAGGCACTGCATCTCAACGTTACCAAGCGTCCAGAGTGCCTCGCCAGCATGGGGATCAGCAGAGATATGGAGACCAAGGCCAAGTGGCTGGCCGAGCAGATCCCCTCCTACATCGCCAGTGTGTTACCCTGCATTCCGCAGGTCGTTAATGGGGGGCCAATGTCGAGCGTGATCCCGAAGATCCCCCTGGCTTCGTTCAGTGCGCGGTGCCTTCATTTGCAGCTTGGAACCCTGATGGTGCCCAGCCTCTCCCTGGAGTTCGCCAGAGTTTGGATGATCTCAACCTTGCGCCCAGTGGTAATGTTTGCAATTTCGTCCTTCAGCGGGCTCGCCACAACCCCCACAACCCTTTTTATCGATTAGCCCTTGCTGCCGGCACGCGCAGATGGAATCTCCGGGGGGGGGGGCATGGCACCACGAGGTATCCCGGTGGATGGCGAGTACCTCGACGAGCGGAAACGGCCTGCTGAACTGACGAACTTTCTGAGAGACCAGTAGACGGTTTGGATGGGGGCCGCCTTTACTTCCAGCTAAATTCGGTTGTCTATCAGTACATGTCTTACTGTTGCAGCAGAGTCTGCGATTAATCCCACTGCTGCAGCAGAGGACGAATGGTCTTCTCCGACTATCTCGACGAGGCTGCGGCGCTGCCAGACGCCAGAGAAGACCCGGATTGGAGGCGATGCGATCCCTTGTGGAATCGCCCTTTGGAATAGGTTGGAGGCGCGCTGGCGAGCGCCTCTGGCGCGGCAAGTTCGGCATCCCACATGTTCGCGCGGTGAGAACAGATCAAGTGTGATTGGTGGGTAGATGTCACATGACTTGCTTGGGAATATTCCCCAGCAGGGCCAGGCAGCTGAGATGGCTGCCGGCGGCGAGCCCAGCGGCGACGACGGCGCAAGTGTAGAAAGCCAGGCGGCGCGCAGAGTCCAGCGGGCCCGGCAGCGCCCATGGGCATTGCTTGAGTTTGGACAATGTAGAGAGAGTCAGGCGGCTCGCGCGGTCTGGCGGGCCCGGCGCAGCGGCCGACGCGTCAGCTGGAGCTGAGCAGCCGGTATGTCCACAGCAGCTAAATCGTTCAAACGGGCAAACGCATCGTGGGCCACGCGGTTGAAGGTTGGCGGGGCTGATGCCGATCGAGGACGCGCTGCTCTGTCTCGGCTTGCACGGTGGCACTCCAGCTGTTGCTCGGTCTCGGGCGCCCCAGTGACGCGGCGGAGAGTCCAGCCCAACGGGCGATATGCGCCGGTCTGTTGGGCCTTCCCAGCGAAGAGGGGCTGGGGCTTTGGAAGCATCGACTTGAGCGGCCATCTGCGCCACGCACGCGCGCGGAGCCAAGCTCGAAGTGGAGGTCCCCCCGCGACGAGGTCACCGAGCATTGTCTCGCCTCATCGCGGCCGCCGCAGATCGCGCGGCGCCAGCGGGGTCAGCCCACGCAGTCGCGAAGACCGGGGTGACGGGTGAGAACCTCGAGCTGCTGGGCTCTCTGGCATCTGTGGCGGCGGGTTCCCGCCGGCCGTTCGCCGTTGCCGAGGACGGGACTTGCGCGGCGCGGGCTGGCCCGAGTTGACCCGTGGCCGCGGCCGCGCAACAGGGGGGCCGCGCGCGGCGAGCACGGCAGAGATTGATTCGCCCAGTCCAGCACGTTCGACGCGCACGCTCGCCAAGCGGGGGCCCTCGAGGAGACGCCTGCTTCGCCTCGCTCGCCAGTTGCGCCGAGCCTCCCGGAGTTATCGCGCGACCCGATGATTCGCGAGGAGGTCACGCGCGCATTTTTTCCCAACTTCCTGAAGGTTACAACCCCAGGGTGAACAAGCTGTCTTTCGTCGCATTGCATCGGGAAGCCCCCCTTTCTGGCAGCCGGTGGCGGAAATCAGCTCGGCGCTGCAATATGCGTTTAAGCTCTTCCAGAAAGCAGCGCGCACGCTGCCCCGCAACGAAGAGTCCGATTGGGCGGGGTGCACCAGTAGCGTTGGGGGCCCCCGCTTCCGCAATGTCTCGCTCCCGCCCCGCATTCAGCGCCTGCAGCACTACGTTGACACAGGACATGCGACGGCGCGGCGCGCGGTGCTCAAGTTGCGGGAGCAGGTGAAGGCTTGGGGGGCGGCCCCAGTAAGATCGAAGCGCCATCGCGCTGACCGCCGCGATAGCCGGTGGCCAAGATTGGGCAGCTAACCCCCCCAGCGCCAAGGGGCGATTCGCCGGCACAGGCGGAGCCCGAGGTCGAGCAGTGGATTGACCTCGCTGTGAAAGAGGGCAGTATCTGCGCGCGGGTTCACGACGCCCTCGCCAGGGGGGCTCGGCCTCGTCGTCAGAAGGATGGGGTTGAGAGGGCCAAACAGTGTAGAGGTCTCCTACCCAGGGGTCTTTCTTGGCACGTCGAAGCAGGTTTTCGCCGCCATTCGCCAGGCCTGAAGCCCCGGGAGAAGACGTCGATCGTGGCAGGCGGCCTTGGGCAGGCAAGCGATGAGGCAGTTGCTCAGATTCTGGAGGAGTGGATGCCCCACTGGCGCCCCGAGGCTCGCGCTGGCGAAGTGCACCCCCCGGATTGGAACGACGACTGGGCGGTCGGGGATATTCCCAGCGATGATTCCAGAAGTGTTTCGCCAGCTTTCTCATTTGGCACAGTTTTCGGACGGAGAGCCACGCGCCCACAGTCCCCAGGTTTCGCCTCTCCTGAAGTTCTGGGCAGACATGCTGAGATCCTCAGAGCATGGGAGAGGTCACCTGCGCGTGGAAAGATGCTCATCATCACCATTGTCTTCCGCCCAGAACCTTCAGCGGGAGTTCGGCCCATTGGATTGCTCATGTCGGTCTCTCGCACGCGGAGTCATGCTCGCCCGAGGGAGGTCCAGAGGCGGGAGAAGGAGGTGGACCACACGGGGTTCTGGGGCAAGAGATCCAGCACGAGCGAGCCAGCATCC